AAGGAAGCAAATAGGGTCAGTTAAGATTTCCCGTCAACTTTAATAATGCGAAATAACATATGCTTCGCAACGGCACCTCCGCGACCCTCATGCATTTAATAACAGATCATACCCATAAACTGAACAATCTCTGCAGACGCCTGCTCATAAAACCATGCCATTAAGGATTTCCAGTCATTTTCCACCTCCAGCGGCCGTTATGCAGGACCACATGCTGGACTCTGAAAACAGCCGCGTGGATGCATTCAGGCCTTGTGAGACCGTGGGGAGGCACCTGTTTTGATAAACTCCCTCATTAGCCTTTAACTAAGGCAGCCAGGTAACCACTTCCTGTCACAGACGCGCCGTGTTTCGCACCAGGGGGGAATTGTGGGAAGATGAGTTGCTGTGTTTCTCCTCCAGAGCAAGTGAGTGCATGAAAATCTTAAAGGTACAGTTCACCCAAAATGTATTTTCTTTCTTGATGAAAATATGTCAGTCAAAAAAGCACCACAGAAGTAGTTTATACAACTTGTGAACAATATTTCAAGACTTTTGAAGTCTTGCGCTACTGGTTTTCACGTCATGTGACCAAATGCAACACGATGCATTTAAAACTGTGACTGTGAATGTGATTTCAGAACTACAAGATTTTCAGTAAATAACAACTCAAATTTTGGTCTTTTCCATCTATAAAACTATAATTCGACTTCAAAAGACATGGAATATTGCACATTCTATCATTAAGAATAGATTTTTCACTGTTTTTGAAAGTTATGTTTACCAAGGCTGCATTGATTTGATCAAAAATACAGTAAATAGGGCAAAAATGTGAAATATTATTACAATTTAAAATGACTGTTTTCTATTTGAATATATATTTAAATATAATTTATTCCTGTGATGCAAAGCTGAATTTTCAGCATCATTACAGTGTCACATGATCCAAAAGACATGAAATCATCATGTATTTTCCTAATTAATGCTGTTCAGTTGCTTTGTCACAATCTGTATTGTTAAAAGCGCTATATAAATAAAGGTGACTTGACTTGACTTGACATGATCCTTCAGAAATCATTCTAATATGCTGATTTTCTGCTCAAGAAACATTTCTGTTTATTATCAATGTTGAAAACAATGTTGTGCTGCATCATATTTTTGTGGAAACCATGATTTTCAGCATTCTTTGATGAATAGAAAGCTCAAAAGAACAGCATTTATTTAAAATATAAATCTTTTGTAACATAAATACCTTTACTGTCATATTTGATCAATTTTAATGCATAAAAGTATTAATTTCTTTAACATTTTAGTGATAGTGTATGTAATATGGTCTACTTCTAGAATATTATAACATTTGGATATTTTGCTAAACATCTGCTTTTGTGTTCCACAGCAGAAAGAAAACCAGGCACATTTGTAATGACATGAGGGTGAGCAAATCATGAGAGTTTTCATTTTCTGCTGAACTTTAACTTCAAACATGCCACACGCTCACAGAAGTGGGAATGAACTCGTCTGGAGGGAACGGAAGCATTTGTAGCAGCCTCAGGGACAGTGTTCACACACAGTAGTCGACATCCTCTCTCAAACACATGTTGGGTATCAGCGCCGCTTTGATCACGTGTCTCGGTAACCTTGTTGTCACATCAACGGTTTCTGGTTTAACACCCCACTGTGATGGGCTCGTCTTCCTCTCTGTTCTTTCTCTTGACTTTCACCTCACATCTTTCCAAACTCATCTTTCTGGGTTCCTCTGCCCTTCCTTGCCTATTTCTCCCTTTAATGACTCACAAATGGCTACAAGACTCTTCTTTTTAACAAATCAAACAAAAATAGAATCATTCTGGAGATCAAGAATTATTGATCTAAATCGATTGGAGCGGTTCTTGAGAACCAAAACCTTACTTTTTAAAATAAACTGAAAATAATTTTGGTGTAGAAACAATTCTCATCTCATCTCAAAAATATTTTTTTTACAGTATGATGTAAACAGCAAAAGTTATGCAACCAACAATAGTTTTGTTTAGTATAAAATAACTGTTGAGGAACCAGAATTATTAAAGGACTAGTTCACCCAACAATGAAAATGTGCTGTAAATGTTATCACCCTCAGGCCATCTAAGATGTAGATGAGTTTGTTTGTTCATCAGATTTGGCGAAATGTAGCATTACATCACTTGCTCACCAGTGGATCCTCTGCAGTGAATGGGTGCCGTCAGAATGAGAGTTCAAACAGCTGATAAAAACATCACAATAATCCACAAGTAATCAATCTTACAACACTCCAATCCATCAAAAAACGTCTTGTGAAGCAAAAAGTTTGTAAGAAACAAATCCATGATGCTTTAACTTTAAACCGGCACTTCCGACTAAATACGAGTCCATAATCCATAAGAATGCTTTCTCCAGTGAAAAAGTCCATCTCCTGTTGTTCCTCTCACATCAAAATCCACCCACATATTTGTTTTGGACTGTTTTAGCTTGTAAACGCTGCTTGATCTGTGCAGATTTCTCTCCTTATTCAGACGAGACCACTTTTTCACTGGAAAAGCAATATTATGGATTATGGACTCTTACTTTATTCGAAAGCAACAGTTGAAAGTTAAAAATGTCTTAATGATGGATTTGTTTCAAACACGCAGCTTTTTGCTTCACAAAACATTAATTGATGGGCTGGAGTGGTGTGAATTACTTGTGGATTATTGTGATGTGTTTATCAGCTGTTTGGACTTTCATTCTGACGGCACCCATTCACTGCAGAGGATCCATTGGGGAGCAAGTGATGCAATGCTACATTTATCCAATGTTAACAAATTATACTGTAAACGATGATGGTTACATGATGCTCCACATCTCGTCCCCCCTCCAGCACACCTGTTTTGTATAAGCACTCTGATTTAATGAGAGTATCTGTGGCTGATCAAGTACCATGTCACTGTAAACGCTGTGTCATTTATCAAATCTGCCAGTGCTGCATGCAGCAGGTTTGTTTCATTACTGCTCGCATCATATAAATCACCGTGGCTGCGTCCACCAGACCCGCACAGTCTCATTTCATATCAGTAACTGGCTCGATGATGAATGAGCCTTTAACTATTAATGATCGTCTACATGCAATTAACTCAGCAGAGCACACAATAACATAATCCTCACTCGCACACAAATACATTTAGCAACAGGAGGAGAAGAGAGACTGATTGTTTTCTGTGGTAATTAAGAGCACTTTACCAATGATGATGTGTTCAGAGACACACACACACACACAGAGAGAGAGAGCGAGAGTGAGAGAGCACACAATAACATAATCCTCACTCGCACACAAATACATTTAGCAACAGGAGGAGAAGAGAGACTGATTGTTTTCTGTGGTAATTAAGAGCACTTTACCAATGATGATGTGTTCAGAGACACACACACACACACACACACACACACAGAGAGAGAGAGAGAGCGAGAGTGAGAAAGAGAGAAACAAAGAGAGAGAGAGTGAGACTGAGAGTGAGTAAAATCTCAGTTGTTCACGTTAAGTCTCATACTGAATTGAATTGGTATTATTTTTATGTCAATTACACATATTTACCCCAACAATTCTCATTTGTGTAATGCATCTGAATATGGTGAGAT